AGGATTAACGTTTAAACCTTTACAAGCAGATTACTTTGCAAAATGTGGGTGGGGCTTATCCGGTCAGTGGGAGGATTGAACAGAACAAAAGGTTGACCCAAATGAGAGAAGTCCCTCGCAGGGCAGCCTTGGTTCTGTGGCAGCCTGCAACTTTCTACCGAACTGAGTTATTAGCCCTGCAGGTTTCAGACTTGGCGGACTCCATAAGTGCAGAATCAATAGTTTATGGTGGGCTCTGTCTGTCTGTCTGTCTCTCTCTTGTCCACACACCTATCCATCCACAGGCTGACAGTGGTGGCTCAGTACTGTTGACCAGCATCGATGGAGAGGCTTACTTCATTGCAATCACTGGCGGCCAACTGTGGCAGCCAGAACAAACCCATTCCAAACTTGCAATGTGGCTTCTGCCGAATGCACAGCTTTTGCACTATCGCTGAGAATCCCTAAGCCAAGAACTGTCTGTGATGTGAGCTCCATACTGTTTTGTGGGGATCATGGTGACTTAGAGGTCAGTTCTAGTCTTCAGATGCTTACATTCATTGCTCATCTAGGTTCTGCTGTGTGTTGGGCTCAGACTAAGACCCTGGTCATAACTGTGAGCAGAGTGGATACAGGGCCTGCCCTGGGAGGGAGGCATGCCCTCATGGCACAGTATGTGAGCAAGCATAGCATAGCAATCATTGTGCCAAAGCAGAATGCTAGGCACTTAATCCAGAAAGCTAGGAAGGAGAAGGTGCCCCACAGGAAAGGAACGGCAGGCAGGTGGATGTTCCATCAGGGAGGGGCTGGTGGCTCCGTTGCTTTTAGATCTATGATAAGGCAGAGGTATGATGGAGGAGAGCTGCCTACCTCATGGCAGCCAGGCATGAGAGAAAGACAGAGAGGAAGAGGCTGGAGCAAAGATACCTTCAACAGCATCTCACAGATAGGCTCCAGTTTCAGTTTCTACCCCCTTCCCAAGGCTGTTTGGTTAGGAATCTGTCAATGGAAGAATCCACTGATGAGGTTAGTGCCATCAAGATTCAACCACTTCCTGAAAGTCCCACCTCTGAACATTGTATTGGGGACCAAGTCTTTTTTGGGGGGGACACTTCTTACCCAAACCATAGCACATGCTGAACTCATATAGTATCATTTTATGGTGTTCATCTTTTGCTCCTCATAAAGTTCAAGATGCTTTGATCGGGTGGGCTTTGATCCTCCAGGCAGGATTTAGGCACCCCAGGCTCCCACATTGGGGCTCTGCTCTCTCTGAGTCCTGGACCTGGAAGGACAAGTGGAGGAGGTCCTTCTTTATTTCCCATGCCCTTTCCCCCACCAGTCACTGTTTCTTGAGAGTTCTGATTTTTCTGTCTTGTGCTGAAAATTGACCACCTTTTCACTTTCCAGACAAGGTTTATCTCTCCTTCTATGTGGCAGGGTCTCATGGGTAGCCTTTAAAAGAATGTGCTCTTTGGAATCAAAGAGATTTGAGCGGGCAACATAATTTTCCACCTTCCTAGCTGTGCTGCACCTGGCCAAGATGCTGGAACCTCAGTTTGCTCCCTGCAAAATTAATGTAATCATAGTATCATGCTAGTAGCTCCCTTCTGAGCCCTTCTGAAGATTGACTGGGGACAGTGACATAGGGTCTGGGGGCACAGTAAATGAGGGTGTTTATTATTCTCAAGACAACCCAAAGTGAGGTAGGAGTTCAGAGCTAGTCATGGGGTCTCAGCCCTCTTTCCACTTCTCCTAGCCACTTCACCAGAGCAAAATGCTTTCTGGGAGTCTGTGACTAGGTCAGTTCATGAATGATGCCTCTGCAGGTGCCCTGATCCCATGGCTCCACCCTCGCCTCATGCCAGGGTACCGATGCCAGATCCTCTCAGCGGTTACAACCTCCAACTGCCTCCTGCTGCTTGAGTTTTTATCAAAAGCTCAGTTGAGAGAAATACAGTTCAAGGGGGTCACTTAAAGGCCACACATTCCATCCATTCTTCTAGATACTTATGCCCAACCAGTCAGAGGATCAGGAAACTGAGCCATTCTTGTCATCACAGAGTCTTTATCCTCTTCTCCCGTATGACTCCAGAAATGCAGTTCCCCAGTATCGTGCACTTGGGAATGGTTTTGTCCAGTTGGTCTCTTCCTCAGACCATGAGCAGAAGACATTTTAGGCTTTGGTTTCTTTTCCAGCAAAAAGCTGCATCTGCTGACGAATTGGGGTGTGTGTGCAGGGGATTCCAATCTATGGACCCCAAGACTTGTAAGACTGATGTCCAACATTTGCTTCCTCTGGTTCTCGCCAGGAAACAACAGGCAAATTTGAGGTCCAACTTAAGACTCTTAGAGGACCTTGTGGGCTGTCATTTGATGGATATGGCTTCTTTCCAGAGACTAGCTAGATCCGTACACCCTTACAGCAATGGTTTTGTGTGTCTCCTCTGTTGTTTTGGGGTCCAGTGAGGCCAGAGTGGGGGTCAGTAAACACAACGATCTCAGAAGTTTAGTCAGGGTGGAGCACTGGCCTGGGTGTGTGGGAGAACAAGGAGGGGCCTGGTGGCTATGGGACAAATGTCCCTTTCTCAGCCAGTGTGGTGGTAATGACGGGTCTGGCTTCATTAGAGCAGGGGGCTCTAATGAAAAGAGAATTTTCCATGGATTAGAAAACAGCAGTACAGCTGTTGCTCAACTTGAACTTCTCCCTGTGGCCCCCAGGCTGTCTGGTATTTTTGTCACATTGTGAAACACTGAAACTTGCAGCAAGCACCCCTTTCTCTTCCTCTTCCCTCTCTCCCCAGTCACTCTCACCCACCCTTTTTCTTCCTTAGTATATCATTCGGCTCCTGCCCTCCATCTGGCTTCAGAGGCAGCTTCTGAGCTGCGTACTAAAACTGTTCCTTCGTCTGGGTTAGACAGGGGTCTCTCTAGCAGGCCTGGGGCCCCAGACTGGTGCTGGAGCAAACAGCAGAAGGAGTTGAGATGGCTCACGGGGAGCAGCCACAGATCCAAGGACAGCAACTACATCTGCTATGGTCTGCTGAAAGAGCTGTTACTGTTGCTCTTTTATTTATTTCAATGCATTTCATGCCTTAGCTCTTGCTGTACCTTCATCACTATCCAGGCAAGATTCCCTCCTTTTAAAAATTACATTTGTCTCGGGGCATGGTGGCACACGCCTTTAATCCCAGCACTCGGGAGGCAGAGGTAGGCAGATCTCTGAGTTTGAGGCCAGCCTGGTCTACAGAGTGAGTTCCAGGAAGGCCAGGGCTACACAGAGAAGCCCTGTCCTAAAATCAAACAAGTTTACTTTGTATGTATAGTTACAATATGCAAAGGTATGTGTAGTCAGAGGACAACTTTTGTGAGTCAGTTCTCTCTATCCTGTGAGACTAAACTCAGGTGGTCAAACCTGGCAGCAGGCACCCGATGAGCCATCTTGCCAGCCCCAGTCCCTCCCCCTCCCTTTTTAATAGTTTGACATGGTGCAGTGCCTGTTTGTTTACCTGTTTATCTAATCTACGGTCTGTCCACTTTGCAAAGATGGCACTTACAGCCAGTTTGGAGCTCTCTGTGCAGTGTAAGACCAGCAGCATTCCTGGCCTCTCCCAGCCACAGAGACAACTGTGCATTCTGATATTGAGGGGAAGAAGAGAAAAGCCCCCAGACTCAGAAGCAGCACCCCTGGGGTCCCTATCCCTCACTGCTCTCTCTTGCCAATAGAGGCCTCTTGGGTGAGCTTACTCCATATCCTCCAAGTTACACACATCCCGACAGCTCTGATAATCGCCTGCTCACAACCGTTGCTTAGTTCTCTCTCCATCTCTGCCTCCCTTCCGTCTTGTGGTGCTGAGGATGAAACCCAGGGCCTCGTGGAAGCGTGCTAATCAAATGCTCTTCCCTGAGCTCCACTTCCATAGATTTTCTATCAAGGCTGTATCTTCTTTAGGTCTGCTGAGGACAGCCCTTGTCTAGTCAAGGTGAATGCTATATTCTGGGCAGCTCTACTGTGGTCCTCTCCCCATCATGTCTATTGACTCACTGTATACGTGAGGGAACAGTGTGGAGCTGGCTACAGAGTCTTTGGCCTCCCTCTCTAACTAGTATATCTTTGCAGAAGGCAGAGGAGAGGAGCAGGAGGCATGGGAGAGATGTTTCCATCGGGGAGTCACAGGGATCAACCACAGCAGCATCTATGTCCCCTGATGTGATGCCCCATGTCTCTGGAATCTGATTTAACATTCCTTTTGGCCTACGAATGGCTGAGTTATTTTGTTTCAGTATCAGCAAGAGACAATGGTTCTGGTGTGCTGAGGCAGGGGGGCTCTGGCAGCATCTCTCGGTGTGTGTATATGGGGTCTCTTGGCTCAAATCTGGAGCCTGTCTGCTTTAGATTTTCTGTCCTGGATCCTGAGGAGGAGGAGGAGTTGTATCCTGTGCCTTGCTAGCAGAGTGCTTTTTTTCTAGCCTCAGGGAAAAATTGATGGAGGAGCGCTGGTGAGGCAGGCTGTAGGGGCTTTGTGGTCCTTATGCTCTTCACTTGACTCTCCTTCCCCTTTTTCCTGTCTCTTGTCCTTGTCTCCTTCACAGCACTCTGCCCCACTTGGGTTTCCCTTCCCTCTTTCCTTTCTCCATCTGTACGGAGCCTTCTCTGCTGACCACAGCCTATACCACAACCTTAGAGCAGGGCTCCTGGGCCTCCATGGCTAGGTGGCAAATATATGACCCAGGTCCACCTCACCCCTCATGACAGACACTCATCTCATACTAGGGCTCCTTCCATAGTCCCAGACTCTCGGCGCAGAGGGAAGGTGATGGATGTGGTGCCTTTGGTTTACAGCACCATCTTAGTCAACGGCTACCTTTCTGCAATGGCCTTTACCCCTGACCACTCAGTGAGAGTAGCCCGGTCACCTGCAGACAGACTGATTTCTCTGATGTGAAGCATGTGTGAGGACAGGCTGGTGTGTGTGTGTGTGTGTACGCGCACTCATGCATGAACGCTATGGTCTCCCCAGGCGACCTTACGCTGTGGCCAGGATTGAGATAACTGCCTTCCTGAAGAAAGAGTGCTACAAGAAGAGACCTGGGCACAGGAACCCCGGGCTGGAATGGTGACTGCCCTCAGGTAGTGGACTGTCCCTGGTCAAGCCTGTTTCTCCAGTAACTGGACAAGAGCACCCTGGGGAGAAATGGCTGAGAAAGAGAAGGGGCCAGGAATCTCTACTAACTTAGCCCTTCTTTCCATAACCAAGGGGGCTTTGGAAGGAGCTGCTAGTCACCCAGGCCCCCCAGCACTGGGGCAGGGGCAGTGCTGGGGGCGGCCAGAAGCCAGATCGACCTTTGGCCTGCTTTCCTCTACAACTCTGTCACCCTGGGCCTGCGGCTGTCCGTAGATTCCGCCAGTCTCTGGACAAGGTGGGCAGAGGGTAGGGAAACTGCTTTTGGAGGGCACAGTTTCTTCTAGAGTCTGGGCAGGGAAACAAACAGTGGCTGGAGCTGGAGGGATGTGAGTCTCAGCCAAACTTTGCAAGGAAAACCTTTGCCAAGCCACTGGCCTTCTGCAGCTACTCCATGGGCCCTACGGCTGAAAGGGGAAGTTCAGCTGTATTTAGGAAGCTGTTCACAGACAGGAATGGTGGGGGTGTGTGTGGAGGTGAGGGTGAGGAAGGCAACTGGCTGGAGGGGCTGGGAGAGGAGGGCAGGCAGTCACTCAGAAGGGATTTATTTATCAGGGACCTGAGGACAAAGGTTTGATTTGGGTCCACATGTTGTCACTTGGGAAGCTCTTGGAGCTAGAGGATGGGGGATAGGGCAGAATGAAGATGAGAAAGGGGCGAAGAGAAGAAAGGGAAAGGGGAGAGGATAGAGTTCTCAGCCAGGATGCCTGGCTTTTTAATGCTGGAAGCAAAGGTTGCATGTGCTGGGCATATATGCTCAGCCACCCCAGAGGGCCAGGTGGTAACTACCCCTCAGGGTACAGAGGGATAGGACGGAGTCTGGGAAGGGGAAAGCTTTGGGTGCGCAGCCTGCAAGAGGAGGTCAAAGGAAGAACTCTCGTCTCCCCCAGAGTATGCCCAGATTTCTCTGCTAGACCGCTCAAGTCACCATAATAACATACCCTAAACTAGGTGGCTTATTGTCAGTTGATAATCACTGCTCAAGCACTGGCAGCTGGGAGTGATGGGTAGGGTTGGAGGAACCATGTTTTCAACCAACATCACTCTTCCAGAAGGTCGTGCCCCCACCAGAGATGAGCTTCAGCAGAGTTCTTCCAGAGGGGTCCCTGTGCCCAGGACCGGAAGGGGACCCCATCCCAACAAGGGGCATGTTACTCCAGCCACAGAAACCATGCCATGCAGGAGGACCTGCTCTGCCGATGGAAGTTATAAGGGCTTCAGTGGCGCTCACTCCGCCATTGATCACCCAAGACCAAACGGCTCAGTGCACCCTGGTGAGGACAGCTGTGCACCTCAACCCAACACGGGACTCCGCTGGAGTGCGACTCATGTGCCAACTGCTATGCTAAGGACCAGGGGGTAGACAGCATGGTTCCTTTCCTCATGGGACTGAACCTTAGTGAGGGTTCATCGTGGGTCAGTGTTTCTCCCAAGCTGTGAGGACGGCCAGGTGAAGGTAGGAGGAAGCAAGGCTCCTATCTTTTTAATCTCCCGGGGGAGGAGACAACAATCATACACCTGAAACATGCAGAAAATGAGGCAAGGGTTAAGAGGTGCACTGTTGAGAGCCATGGAACCAGTTGACATGACATGCGTGTGATGGTGTGTGCGGCTCTCTCTGTAAGCGGGCCTGACTAACCAGCCTTGGCTGAAGAAACAACTCATCAGCTCTGGCATGACTGTAAAATCAGGACTTTAAAATCTAGGCGGGCTCCACCAGCTACCTTTTTGTCATTTTGTCTCATTTTTGAGTAAAGTTCTCTTGTAGCCCAGGCTGGTCCATAACTTGCTGTGTAGCTAAGGCTGATCCTTTTTGATCCTTCTGCCTTCACACCGGAGTCCTGGGGTTATAAGTGTGCACCTCTACACCTGTTTTTGTTTTGTTTCCCTTCTGATTCATCCTTTCATTGATCGTTTCTCTCTCCTCCTCACCTCTCCCTCAGCACTGGAATCCGTGGCAAGTGCCTGGGTTCCAGGTTTGGGGAACCTTCTGCAGTCACAAAGCACGGCGTTAGCTGAATTGAGAGGCAGAGGCCAGGAACACAGGACTTTCATCGAACCAATTTGGGGTTCACAAAATGCTTCGACAGAGGATCGTGAGGTACTTCTGAGTGGGAACACTTAGGGGGTAGGGGTGCTGGCGACAGGAAAGGGTCCCGTTCCTAGGTGTGGGAGCGCTCAGGCTGTGCTGTGCATGTGTGGCCAAGGTGTTCCAGAAAGCTCTAAGGCTGGCATAAGGGGTCACTGAATAGCCTTCCCCCCAGCTTCACTCATTATTTACATTTTTGGAAACATCTGAGAAAAAAGTTAGACATCTTGACCTTTTCCCTTTAATTACTTCAGGGGATATTCTCAAGGACATTCCTTAACATAGCTTGCTTTTCTTTCGGCCAAGCGTTATTCCAGACACTGGTGAGCTAGTCTAGATTGTAAATAAAGCTTATTTTGTGGGAGTCGGCTAGACTATCCTTTTGTATGATGCTGTGCTGGTGTCCTGGCTACTGGGGGCTGCCTGGGCCCCAAGTCTTCTCAAAACTGTGTTGGCCTCAGGAGTCATGCTTGAGTATGCTTTTTACGGGACAGCTGGTTTGCTCCCTCTGAGGCCTGGCCTGGCTGGGCCTTGGCTGAACTCTGTTTCACTTTGTTTTCCTCCACTTTGTTCTAGAATTTTCTGTGCATTTTCCCACCCACAGATGTGACTGCCATATGATACTGGCTTTCCAGCGTCTAGCATGGTATGTTGGCTAGAAAGTGAACTTGCTTGGGCCCCCTCTGTGTCTTGGAAGCCAGAATGGGCTTCTCAGCAAACAAGGAAGGCTTCTCGTCTCCATCTTAGCAGTGGATTGAGGCTCTGTGGTGGTCTGGCTCGTTGTCCTGTGGTTCTGCTCAAGACTGGAAGTCTTAGGCAAGGGGAACATTTTCCAGAGCACAGCTGAGGGACAGAACGTCTCAGGGAGATGGGCTGGGCTGGGCAGGCAGGGTTTTGGAAACCCCCCTGCTTGTTCTGGGAGCTGTTCAGAATGCTGAGGTTTTGGAAAGCCATGGCGGCTCTTTACAACTGTTGCTGCTTTGGGAAGAAGAATGGACTGGTGCCTGATGCCTTGGGTTCAGTGGGAAAGGTGAAGCCCAGCCTTGCCAGCCTGGAACCAGGGCTAGGCCAGGGGGTGGGGTGCTGAGGGAACGGAACACTAGACTTTGAGGAAGAATGAAGCCCTCGGGCAGGGTCCTCTGAATGGAGAGAGGCTGGTGCCATGGCCAGCCACGATTGATGGTGGGTGGTGGCCTTGACACAAGCCATGAGGCCTTTGGGCCTGGTCTCAGAGGTCCCTCTAATGGAGCAGGTGGGAGAACCCCCAGAGGCCCCATGAACGGAATATGCCCGAGCCTTTTTCGGGTTGGAGCGGTCTCAGTACAAGGAGAAGCCTGGGGCACTCAATAGGACACTCAGTCCAGGACTGCGCAGTCGGGGAAGACTTCAGCTTGAGGAAGGCCAGAGCCTCCTTCTCTAGCGGTGTCTACACTCTTCTGCTCTGATTTTCACACACTCAGAATGCTCAGGGTCCAGTGCCAGCTCCGCTCTGTGACCCAGGGCTAGTCAGTTCACCTCTGTAGGCTCTCTTCATCCATGAACTGGGGTGGAGCTCTGAGGCTCTTCTGCTGAGTGCTGTCTACTCTTAGAGAGCTTCAGCGGACTTGAAGAACAAGAAAACACAGCTGTCTAGGCTCCCACTTTAATAGTTTTATTTATCATAGCGTGGGGTGAGGAGGGAAGAGTGCTTGAGGCCTCGGAGGCGTATGTGGCGGTCTCTTCTTCCATGTTTAACATGGATTACAGGGCCTGAGCAGAGGTCTCCAGGCTTAATGGCAAGCACCTTCATTCCCTGAGCCATTTCATGTATCAAGCTCCCACTTTCGAAGGTAGAGTTGGTAAGAGCACAGCGAGGCCCAGGCAAGCCCTCCGCACCCCCAAACTTTTTGAAGACCCTGACTTTAACTGCAGACCTCACCAACACAGTTGTTGGGGAGGGCCTGACACAGGTAGGCCTCTAGCCTGGGCAGGCAACACCCCTCCATGCTCTCCTAGAAGCCAGCCTAGGCTCTGCCATTCCCATTTCCAGGGTCCCAGCTCCTGGGGACCGGATGGAAACCACCAGGCTTTCAGGGTCCTGCAAAAGGGACCCAGGGTCCCGCCCATCCCGACTCCTGGCCGCCCTGATCTCTCGAGGGGCTCGGGAGGAGAGAGAACTGCGGGGCTCCTCTCTGCGGCCGGTTCTCCCACAGCGCTGACGTAGCCCTGCGGCCCAGCTGGCTGCAGTTTTTCGCAATAACAATATCCCGGGGAGGGAGGAGCGGCGGGGTGAATGGGCGCCTTTGTCCCGGACTCTGTGAAGGCCGATTAATTATGCGCCGCGGAGCGCGGGAGCGCGGCCGCCCGGCCCCCTGCGCGCCTGAAAGGCCCGGGCTTGGGAGCGCGGCCGCCGGCTCCGCGCCTCCGCACAAAGGGCGGCGCATTAGGAGCCCGGCAATTACCCTGCATTTTGGATGTGTCCTTGTCTCGCTGACACCGCGCCGCCCCTCTACGGGCGGCTGCACTTTGAGGATTTGCAAGTCCTTTCTTGGTTGCTAGGAGCGACTAGGCAGAGAGGTTGGGAGCTTGGAGTGGGCTTCGGGGGGGAGACGCCAAGCCTGTCCAGTTGGGAGTGTCCCGTGCCGAAGTGGGGGAGGGGCGGGCCGGTGTCACCCCTGGGGACCTGGAACTTAAGGCTGATATTTTTTCTAAAGCGGAGCCTGTTCAGAGTGCAGATTCCTGCCCTTACCCAGAGGACTCCCTTAGTCTGTGTCTAGTGGTGTGTCCTTTAAGCACCACAGATACTATTTTAACCTAGCTTGGAATAGTGAAACAAAATGTATAGATTTAACATTTTTAAAAAGCACTTTATTTTATTTTTTTTTTGTGTGTGCGCGCGCGCGCGCGCACACACACACACACACACACACACACACACACACACACACCCCCGAGCACGCTCTCCAGCCCTTGCTCCAGTGCACCTGTGGAGGTCAGAGGACCACTTGTTTTCTCTTTCTACCCTGTGCGTCCTGGGGGATTGAACTCAGGTCTTCAGGCTCAGCAGCAAATGTCTTTACTCGCACAGCTCCTCAGTGTGCGTTTTGCCACATGGATGATCTGTGTCAACTACGTCATATTGACATACCGAACAATTCCATCTGTCCAGAAGATCCCCTGATTTCTCTCTCCAGGCCCACGCTTCCAGGCTCTGCAGTTCTGATTGGTGACATACCCCTCAGGTTTTGATCTGGCTTTGGATTTGAAGATAGACAGAGTCACACGTCACACGGTGTGTGGTGTTTTATCTCCGTTTCTCAGCGGTGTTTTTGAAATCCATCCACACAAAGTGTAGTTTCACAGTTGGTTTCTTTACCGAACAGTTTGTCTGCTTGCCTGTTATGGACACTTAACTTGCTTCTAAGTTGTGGCTGCTGGAAGTACAGCTGCTGTGATTTTTGTGTGTGTGTGTTTTGGGTAAATGTCTAGGAGTGGAGTTGCTGGGTCCCAGGGAAGGCACTGAGCTTTAAGATCGAGCAGTGGGCTTCCTTTCTTAAGCATCTACACTGCATCTTGAGGCCCATGAAAAGTGTATCGGGCCTTCCAGTTACTCTTCGTCCTTGTCAGCACTCGGGATTGTCAATGTTTTTTTGAGTTTAGCCGTTCTAACTGTTGTGACATGGGATCTCATTGTAGGCTTTTTCTTCTTTGGGAGGGCAGATGATTTAGTGCCTGAGCTCCAAGGACTAGTGTGTGTGTGTGTGTGTGTGTGTGTGTGTGTGTGCAAATATGGAAGCCAAAGGAGGACATTCATTGTCTTCTATCACTCTTTGTCTTAGTCCCTGGAGAAGGGTCTTTTACTGATGTGAAGCTTGCCATTTGGGTTGGTTGGACAGCCAGCAGGCTCTCGGGCGGGACCTTCCTGTTTCTGTCTCCCAACACTGGGCCTACACGGAGGTGTGGACACAGCCAGCTTTTAATGTGGATGTCAGCGATTCAGACTCAGGTCATCGCAGTCTCCTCAGCCCAGTTTGCACTGTCTTGTTTGGCCACTCTTATTCTTTACATATTGTGATATATTTAAGGTGTTCGAAAAAGAGCTCAACAAAACCCACATGGCCCTTCCCTACAGTAACAGACACTAACATTTTACCTCTTTGCATCTTGAAGGAGTAAGACGTAATAGCTGCAGCCAAATCCTGCCCATATCCTCTTCCCTCACACACAACAGTCAGGATTGCTGTTCACACGTGGTTAGTGATGCTTCCAGGGGTGGCCTTTGTTGCTGTTGTGTGTGTGTGGAGGGGTTGGGGTCTGGAAATCAAACCCAGGACCTTACTCATGCTAGGTAAGCTCCCTTCCCTGAACTACACCCCTAACCCTCCAAGAAGGATTCTGGCTTCTGCTTTTCTTTCCTTTGGCCCTCGGGGCGCAGACCTGAGTCAACTGCTCTCATCAAGGCGCTCTGTGCCGGTCCCCACAGACACCCACACACGTTGATTTATCCCTTTAGACATCCCCCTCACTCTTTATTTACCACCCCAGGACTCCATCCCTAAGTTCAGCAATCACGTGAATCGGTTTGCAATCACATTCTTGGAGTTATCTTAGCTACTTTTTCTGCTGCTGGGATAAAAGACCCTGACAAAAGCACCTTAAGGAAGAAAGGGCTTGTTCAAAGGTGCAGTCCTTCGTGGTGGGAGCTCCTGGGACAGGGGCGTGAGGGTTGGGGTTACTCCGCATCCAGCCTGGAAGCAGAGAGCAACATATGCTCATGTTTAGCTGGCTTTCTCCTTCCTGCCTTCCTTCCCTCCCTCCCACCCTTCTTCCCTCCCTCCCACCCTCCTTTCCTCCTTCCCTCCCTCCCACCTTCCTTCCTTCCTTCCTTCCTTCCTTCCTTCCTTCCTTCCTTCCTTCCTTCCTTCCTGTCTGTCTTTGTTGTTTTTTTTGCTTTTTTTGGGGGGTGGGGGAGGTTCTTTGTGTAGCCTTGGCTCTCCTGGGATTCACTCTGTAGACCAGGCTGGCCTTGAACTCACAGAGTTCAAGAACTCTGTCTTCTGAGTGCTGGGATTAAAGGCGTGCACCACCAGCCTGGCATAGTTTCCCCTTTTTATGCAGTCCAAGATCCAAGCATATGGAATGGTGTCACTCACTTTTACAGTGGATCTCCCATCCCAGTTAACTTCATTAAGATAATCCCTCACAGGCATGCCGAGTGGCTAATTTAATCTCAAGAATCCTACAGTGTGTTTTTAGGGATCACTAGTGTCTTAGTTAGGGTTTCTGTTGCTGCAAAAAGCAAGCTGGGGAGGAAAGAGTTTATTCAGCTTACACTTTCACATCACTGTTCATCATCAAAGGAAGTCAGGACAGGAATTCAAACAGGCAGGAACCTGCAGGCAGGAGTTGACGCAGAGGCCGTGGACGAGTGCTGTTTACTGACTTGCTCAGCCTGACTTTTTTTTAAATTTTTTTATTATTATTAATTACAGTTTATTCACTTTGTATCCCCCCTGTACCTCCCTCCCTCCTCCCCTCCCAATCCTACCCACCCTCTTCCCCACCCATGTCCCTTCTCAGTCCACTGAAAAGGGAGGTCCTCCTCCCCTTCCCTCTGGTCCTAGTCTATCAGGTCTCATCAGTAGTGGCTGCATTGTCTTCCTCTGTGGCCTGATAAGGCTGCTCCCCCTGGGGGGGGAGGTGATCAAAGAGCATTAGCCTGACTTCTTATAGAACCCAGGACCAGCAGCCCAGGCATGGCACCACGCACAGTGGGCTGGGCCCTCCCCTATTGATCGCTAATTAGGAAAATACTTTACAGCTGGATCTTATGAAAGCATTTTTCTCTATTGAAGCTCCTTCATCTCTGATGACTCTAGCTTGTGTCAAGTTGATACAAAACCAGCCAGTACACCTACCTTTGTTTGGCGTGCTTTTAGTTAATTGTACAACCTCCCAGTTTTATTTTATCCAACTCATTCCATTCCTTTGTTGTTGTCATTGGTTTGTTTGTTTGTTTTATTTTTCTAGACAAGGTTTCTCTGTGTAGCCCTGGCTATCCTGGAACTCCCTCTGTAGACGAGGCTGACCTCAAAATCGGAGATCCACCTGCCTCTGCCTCTCAAGTTCTGGGACTAAAACAGCCACCACTGTCGAACTTCATTCTATTTCTAAAGTGAGGTAAAAGAGAAAGGCAAGCTAAAGAGATGGCTAGAATGGGGCTTGTTCTGGCCACCCCGAGGCGGAGGCATGTTTCCCCTCCCCCCTTTTATAACAGCACATCTGTGCATGCACCATGCCTTTACTTGATGATGCGGAACTAGCTATGAGCTGCACTCATGCCTCCCTATGTTGTAGGTGCTGAGAGCTGAACTCTAAAAAAATTAAAACAAAACAAGACACGACAACTCAAAAAAATCCCAAACAGCAGGCATTCATAACTGCTGATTCATTTCTCCAGGCCCCTCTTCTCTAGACTTCTAAGAATCTGGCACATTAAGTGTTGGAAGGTGGCATGCTGGGCTGGAATATGGCTCAGAGGGCAAAGTTGGAGGCTGCCAAACCTGATGGTCTGGGTTTGACGCCTGGGATCCACTTGGTGGAGAGAGCTAGCTCCTGAAAGTTGTTCTCTCTTACACTACACTACAGTACACATACACACACACACACACACACACACACACACACACACACACACACAGTAATTAAAAACAAAACAAAACAAAACATAAAACAACCCTAGAGATCTCCCTTGCTGTGGTTTCAGTATTATTTAAGGAAAATAGCAAAGACTAGAATTAGCCCAGCATGCCTTTAATTCCAGCACTCTGGAGGCAGAAGCAGGCAGGATCTCTTTGAGTTCAAGGCCAGCCAGATCTACATAATGAGTTCCAGGCCAGCCATAGAAAAACCCTGTCTCAAACAAAACAAAGAATAAGAAGGAAAAAGAAGAAAAGGAAAGAAGAAGAAGAAGAAGAAGAAGAAGAAGAAGAAGAAGAAGAAGAAGAAGAAGAAGAAGAAGAAGAAGAAAATAGATATAATTAAGTGACATTTATGGTCCCCAGAAGGGAGAGAGATCAGCAGGAGATGGTCAGAGAGGGCTCCCTGGAGGAGGCAAAGGCCAAGATGGACTAGCCTGAGCATTCCAGGACAAGCCCGCTGGCAGTAAGGACTCCCTGTGGAGTCAGGGTGAAGGTTCTAGTGTAATCTGTGCTGTACTCCAGGAGCTGCCTACAGAAGTTCCATGCCTTGTGTCTTCAGGAAGTCCAATCGGTATATAGGTGCTTTTCCCACAAAACGCCAAGGGGCCAGCCTGATGTAACCATCCACAGAGGAGATTCCTGGTAGTTCTGCCATCTCATCCCTCCCTCCAGATGCAGCAACAGGAGCCATTTGCCGCTCACCAGAGCTCTTGTGTCCCAGTGTTAGAGAGACACAGAGACTCAAGTTCATGTTCTTCTCCTCAGGAGGACTGGGGCTGAAGACAAGAGAAGTTGCTCGCCTCTGTAATACTGCACAGACGCTGTGAGGTGAAGCAAAGCAAAAATCACAACTTTGGCTTGCGGTATCATATATGTGTGCGTGTGTACATGGCACAGCACGTAAGTGACAGAGGGAACAACCTCAGGTGGACGCCTCCACTTCCACCTTGCTGCAGTCTCTTGTTCATTGCACACACCAGGCTAGCTGGCCTTCAGTCACGGGTGTGCTGCGGTATCGACCCCACCCCGAGATTCTTCTTCTCAAGACGGTAGAATGTCGACCTGGGAAAGGCTGGCATGTTTGCTTTCACGGGAATATTCCAGTGAGGAGAGATGTTCAGCTCCTCGGACCTGCCATGGCTTCTGCCCTTCAAGTTGGTTTCTATGGCTTGTGCTATGAGGTAGGTGGACATTATTGTTCTGCTCCCTTCCAGCCCTCCCCTGCTGCTGCTCAGGATATGGTGTCCTCATTGAGTTAGAGAAAGGGGCCCCCTTTCTGGGTGGGCAAATTAGGAAAGGCTGTGCTTTCCTCATGCAGACAGAGCCTCTCATCAGGATGAGTGGAATGTGCGGCTGGGTTCCAGGCCTCAGTCCAGTCCTGTCTGTGGTCAGGTCCCTCTGTGCAGAGCACAGGCCACATAATCACTCACAGCGGCCTGACTGCCAACCACTTGTTTCCTGGATGATTTGTCCTCTGTCTCAAAAGTGTCATTCAGAACGTAAAGTTTTGGTCTGGGTTTTTTTTTTTTTTTTTTTTTTTTGACACGGGGTCTTGTGTAGAGCTTGGCTTTGATCCTCCTGCTTCAGCCTCCTGATGGCCAAATTTCAGGCTTTAGAGCAGTGGCTCTCACCCTTCCTAATGCTGTAACCCTTTAACACAGTTCTTCATGCTGTGGTGACCCCCAACCTAAATTATTTCGTTACTGCTTCATAACTGTAATGTTACTGTGATGAGTCATGATGTCAAATGTGATATGCAGGATATCTGATAGGTGACCTCTGTGGGGTCACGACCCATAGGTTGAGGACCACGGCTCTAGAGGGTGCCTTCTCCTGAGCCGTGGCTCCCATGCCAGTGCTGGGATTGACCCCAAGGCCACACCCACGCTCCCTATGGCACCACTGAGCCCCATCCTCGTCTGACAGACACTCTTGAAAGGCCTCAAGGATACTCTCCCCTCCCCTGTGGGAACAAAACCAGTTGAGGAAGTACAATCAAGATCCTAGGGGTGAGTTGATAAGGTGGTGCCTGTAGGCCATGGTGACAGTGACATGGAATCACTGATGACCACAGGAGGGAAGGTGCTGTGAAAGGAGGCCTCACCAGTTCCTTTGACAGCCAGGCAGCCAGTCCTTACCAGAGGAGGAATCTCCCCTCGTGTGAGTCATTCTGGCTTTTCTGGGAGGAAGCCGGTTAGATAGGAGCAAGTCACGATTGTCTCCTATCAGAGGACATCATGTATGATATCTGCCTCTGTGACTGCAGAAGGTAGTGCAGGGCTTCCGTGTGACCCATTGTGGTGGAGCCCAGCGTCAGCACCAGGAACTCAGAGGGCATTTAAGGATGCGAGTCCGTAGCAAGGTACATCTGGGTTCAAATCTCAACTTTGTCCTTTTCTAGCTCCGTGGCCTGGATATATTAGCCTCTTATGGATTTTATTTACTTGTTCATTTAGGTTTTAAAAGACAGGTTCTCACCATGAAGCCTTGGCTGGCCTGGAACTCAATATGTTGACCAGGCTGGCCTTGAACTCAGAGAGAGTGCTGGAATTGTGTCATGCCTGGCTTCTTACAGACTTTACAACCTGTACATTATTCGTTGGCTCTCCTACCATCAAGAACCTAGTTCTGGGCCTGGAGAAATGGCTCGGTGGTCTGGAAGAAGACCCAAGTTTAATTCTCAGCAGCCATGTTGCACGGCTCACGACTGCCTGTAGCTCCAGCTCCAGGGGATCGGATGCCTTATTCTGGGATTTGTAGACACCCACATACAAGTGGTGCGTGCCACACCCACAACATGCATAGTTTAAAAAAAAAAGTGTATTCTCTCCTTTTTAACCTGGATGGGGATCTGGGTACACCGGAAGTTCCCCAAATGCAGCAAGTGACGCAGTGGCTTCTAATCTCAGCTGGAAAAAGCTTATGCAGCCTCCAGTGTCCATTAGGACAGTCACGCTGGAATTCTTCAGTTGCCGTGGGAAGAAGCCAGTACCCAGATTCTCCGAGAGACACCTGAGTAGCCACAGCCGCCCAGCCTGAGTTGCTTGTGCCATTTTTGTTGGAGCCTCCGATATGTGACTGAAAAAGCCCCGTACCTCTCCATGGTCCTGAAGGGCTGCAAACTGAAGACCCTGTGTGAGAACCACTATGCCAGCCCAGTTACCCAAATGCATACACAAAAGAGATGGTTGTCATTGCTAAGGGCATTGTTTATGGGTGGGTGTGTTAGGGCAGAGTTTGAAGCTGACTCAGACTCTTGTACCTGGAAGAAGACTGCTGCCATGACAAAACCTAATCATGGCTTTATGGCTGGGATGTGGGCAGATGTTCTCAGGGTTTTGAAGGTCTATTATTACTATTGAAAACTTGATGGTCTTCAAGGAGCCTGCTTGCAGGAGCTGAAAGGAAAGTGAGGGAAATATTGTTGGAAGTGGGGAGGGTGGTGGTAGGGGACATTCGTGAGATGGAAGAAGAAAGTTTAACAGAATTGTCACGTGAAGTGATTTGGGTCATAAAAAATGTACCTGAGGAATTAACGGTTTGGGCTAAGGAGATTTTGTTTTGACAGGGTTTTGCTGGCCTTGAACTCTTGACCTTGCTACCTCAGCCTCCTGGGGACTAAAGAGACTTTTGGAAGTGTCAGATTATTGAGTTGCATGTGACAAGGATAGAGAAAAATGAATTAAAAAGGAAACTAACTTTCAAATAAAATTTATACAAATTAGAACAGAGCCAAGGACTTGTGGGGTTTGAAAATGGATCATCTGTTTCTCATTTTCAGCCTCCACAAATGGAAAAATATACTCAAAATAGGAAAAGGCTCTGGGTCAAAAATAAAACCCAGAACTAAATGATAAGATTTGTGTAAACCCCAGAAAGATCTAGAGGTAGTGGCTAATACCTGTAATCCTGGGCATTACCTTGCCATGAACAGAGGCAGGAGGATCCCTGTGAATCTGAAGCCAGTCTGGGCTACACGAAACCATGCCTCAAAAAACTGCTATGCCGGAGAGTGCATAGGAAGTAGAATTTAGTTTATGCACACTCTGTTTAAGAAGGAACACGGAGGCTGTGCATAGTGGCACATACCCATTCTCCAAGTATCCGGGAAGTGTGGGGCCAGCCAGGGTTACACAGCAAGCGCCAGTTTCAGAAAAGTGGAGACCTGGGAGGTAGAGGCAGGAGAATCGGGTTCAAGGCCAGCCTTGGCTACATAGCAAGTTTGAAGTCAGCTTGGGCTACGTAAAACCCTGTTCAAGAAAACCAAAAGGGAAAAACAAAAGATGGGGGAAGTGAAAACTGGTCTCCAAAGATAGCAACTGGTCAACTCCTGACACTCCTTCCTCAACCTCTCAGTTGGTCTGGGTGTGACTCACCTTACCCAACAGAGTGTGACCAGTAGGGCTCTCCCAGTGACATTTCTGGAGCAGACCATCCAGAGTCTTGGCCAGCATGCCCGGCTTAAGCCTGGACCATCTTGATTCCACATACCCAGCCAAGATATCTGTAACTGCTTACCCCTCCTCCAGTGAGGTCTGCAGAAGAACTTCTCAGCCACTTAGGAAGTCCTGAGGGAGACTGCCTGTTTGTGGCTCACTTTAAGACACTGAGCTTAGCGTGCTATTGAAAAATTTATTTTTTGTGTATGTATGTATGTGTGTGTATCTGTGTGTCTTTGTGGGTTGTGTCTGTATGTATGTGTGTATGTGCATGTATGTGTGTGTGTGTGTGTGTGTATGTCTCATACATATGGAGGTCAGGGGACAACTCTTGGGAGTTCATTCTCTCTTGCCACCTTGTGGTGTGAGGGGATTAAACTGAGGTCATCATGTCTGCCTGTGGCCACTTCTACCCACTGAAGCAGCTTGCTGGCCCAAGTGTATTTTAGCTAAATCATAGATTATTAAGAAGTGAGTGCTGAGCTGAGCATGGTGGCTCATGCCTATAATTCCAGCACTTGGGAGACAGAGGCAGGTGGATGGCTGTGAGTTCAAGGCCAATATGGTCTACATATTGAGTCTAGGGCAGCCAAGGCTGCATAGAGAAACCCTGTCTCAAAACAAAACAAAACAAAACAAAACAAACTATATATTAAAAAAAAATACCTATATATTAAAAAAAAAAAAAGCAAGCGTTGGGCTTGGGTTATGGCTAGGTGGGTAAAAGTGCTTGCTGTGCACATCTGTACACATCTGTAAACCTAGCACTCCTACAGCCAGATGGGAGGTAGGGATAGGAAAGTCAGCCGGTGGCCAGCTAGCCTAGAGTATGCAGCACAGTATAAACAAAAGAGAGACCCTGCCTTAAACAAGAACCAACTTCTAAGCATTGTACTCTGACCTCTACATGTGTGCCATACCCCTCCCCCATAAGCTCCTAAGACAGATGTAGTGAGGATTTTTGTTTTTAATGTAATGTGAATATGTTTTTGCTTTAATCCCAGGTGTAGGACATGGGGCTGCTTCAGATTGTCCACAGCAGCTAACTATGATTTGCCTTGTGCCCTGGCAGAGCACAAGCACAGCAGAGCACAAGCACAGCTGAAAATAGTTTACATTTGGATTCTGGGGACTCTTGAGAGGGTCTGAAAATGCCAGAGCTCTGGGAGAAGCAGTGGCAGCTGCTGGCCCCTGCTCCTGCTCTTGCTGGTTGCTCGTTGGAGATATCCTGATGATGAAGATTAGACTTGCACCCAGAAATTCGATGCCTCCAAACTGCAGGAAGTAGTCTAGAGAGAGCTATAACCACTTTCCCCTCTATCCTTCTTTTTCTCCTACCTAGTGTTGGGGGTTTGGAAGGGATTGGGGTGGAGAAGGTGGAAGGTAAAAGAACCCAACAAAGTAGCTTAAAGCCTGATTACAGACACAGCCTGGTATGTAGGATCCATTTAACAAGTTTTCTAACTAGATGAATCAGTCTCTTCTTCCCAAACCTTCTCTTCCTAGACCTAATGCTCCCAAGTTGATCAGCCTATGTCCAGATGATGTGACAATGAACTGCTGACTTAACTAAATCCCTTATCAATCAAATGAGTTTGATATCAAATGGACAAGAAGTGGACATTATATACATCTGGGGATAGATTAAGAAGGCTGTTAGTGTGTCTGCAAGGGGAAGGGTGTGGGTGAGTGGCGATGCCACAAAGGTCACGTAGATATACAGTGTCAAGGGAGCATGAAGAAAGGGCAGAGCCTAGGCAGGGACCTGGGGATGTTGTGGTTGTAGTTCTGGAAGGAAGCCATGATGAACAGGAGGCAAAGTCCCACGGGTGCAGAGGCAGAGATCTCCTTCAGGTCATGAGAAGCCCAGAGGCAGGTCTAAGATGTGGAGGAGGAGGAGCCAGGGACTGGAGTGCCTACACTATCTGCAATCCCAGAAGAGTGAAATCCAAAGCCAGGCACAGTTAACTGATGGTAAGAGAAATTTGTACATGTGGTTACTCAGAGGGAGATGGCTAATGCCTGGAAGAAGAGGCTGCTGGGCACCTTCTGGAAGTAAACTCTGTCCTTCATGCAGATGGATACATATCTAAACCAGTTTGTGGAGCTGTACCTTCAAGACCAGTGTGTATCTCCACTTTCCCCAGAGACGTTCCAAGCATGCTGGTGTACCCTCCAGTCATGCTGGACCGGTCTTTAGGAACTCCCCAGCTGCTCCCCGTGGAAGCCTCCCCTGCACCCCTGGAGCAGCTGTGGGGGAGCTGTATCTTCTTTCCACTTTGCTTGAAATGATGTGACCTGGCTGAGTTACGGCATGGGGTGTGTGGGGTGTGTGGGGTGTGTGTGTGTGGCGTCTCTTCCTCCCATCCACCTAAAGAGCCAGGCTGTTGGGAACTGAGGAGCACTTAAGCAAGACCAACAGTCACACTTGCTTGGTGTGTCCAGTCTGGGTCCTCAAAAGTGTGCGGGAAGGATGGGCACATGGGCACTGGGGCTAAGGCCCAAGTCCTAAGCTTGCTTGCTCTGCTCTTGGAGTCTGGGTGGTATCTCAGGGCAGCCTCTTGTCTCACCCCAGCTGTGGGTTCCCTGTTTCATTCAGAGTGCCCTGCGGGAAGCAGCAGGCCCTGCATTCCAGGGCTTTTAGTCATTTTCTCTCTCAGAGCTCTGGGGCTGGGATTAGAATGTTCTTCAAACCTCACTGTCCTCGGCTGGTCTCCCAGGAGGAAGTGGGTGGGTCACTGGGGAGAGAACACAGGCCCAAATTCAGGGATGGAATGAGAAACAATCAAGGCCAGCAGAGTAAAACCATAGAGGTCAGCTGAAGGTGCCCCAGGTATGTCAAAGGGTTGCAAGCTGTGGGGTGGTAGCTCTTTCCCTCCTGCCAAAGGCCAACGAGAACACAGGCTTCGGTGTGCAGTGCATGACAGTTCTGTGTGAGAAGCCCACTGGGGACAGGCCAGGGGATGTAGCAACATTTTATCCCACTGGACTGCACACTCAGCCTTGCTTTGTTTCCAGTCTGAGGGAGAGAAGGACCCAGACATTCCATGCTGAGGTGACAGTGGTGACACAGGTTCAGGTTTGGGGCTGGGGGGTGGACCCCACAGAGACAACCCAGAGAAACCACAAAGTAAGTTTGTTAGCATGTCTGTTGTATTCCTGGCACTGAGCCAAGTGTTGGAACTCGAGCTGGGTCCAAGATGGACTCCATTGCCGTCGTCACCACAGTGCCTGGGACACGTGGCCTGGAAGGTGCCCACTAGGGGAAGGGAGAGAGCAGGTTAAGGCTGGTAGACAGCAGATGCCAGCAGTGGGAAGGGAGTAGGCGTGTGTGGAGGGCTGAGAAGGCACGTAGCTGTAAGGTGTTGAGGGAGTGCAAAGGAAGGGCAGAGTGCAGTCAGGGCCTTGGGGGACAGCACGGCTACAACCTGAGGCACCCTACAACCTGAGGCTCCAGAAGCAAAATCCCTGGGTGCTGAGGCAGGGCTCTTTCTTTGAAAGTCCAGGGGCTGTCCCTAGAGGAGAACATGGCCTACCCTGTTCTCTGAGTTCCTGGGTGGGTGGAGGAAAGCCAAGCACACAGTCCTGGTCCCCCATTGTAGCCATGACAGCACTGATTCCCTATGAGAAGCCAGATTCCTAAGATTTCCCAGCCTGTTCCCAGAACAGGATGGGATCTCAGACCCCATAATTCAGGGACACCGAGAAGGCATAAAGGAGTTCAAAGATATAATTAAGGCTACAGATTAGCAACTGTGAGCTCCTGAGAGGATGGCAAACCTCATCTTATCAGCCCCTTGGAAGCAGAGGCCTCCACCGACAGCAGGACAGGATGCCATTGATTGCCAGCACAGATATCTGATGGTGATTTGAAGACAGAGTGGTCCACATGGAAGAAGGAGCTCAGAGAGGCAGCCTCTAGGAGCTGGCAGCCAGCAGAAAGCATGGACAAGGAGCTGAGTTCTGTCACAGCGTGCAGGGATTGCTTCAGAGTTTCTAGAACGAAGTCCAGATGGCTGAATCCTTGATTGTTGGGCCTTCTGAGCCGCCAGCCCAGCTGGGCCCACCTGGACTGATGATCTACAGGGCTGTAATAA